CGGCAATTTTTATTGTCACGAACCTCAAGCTCGTAACAATTGGTGTCAGAAGTGGGATAAAATAATGCCGATTTTACCTAAGGAGGAAACGGAGGGTGTCCGTACCCGAAGTCAACGCCAGCAGGAGACGGACCAGAGGAGATTTGGTGGTGCAACGCCGCAGATGTCTGAGGGCCAGCCGCCGGCCACGGAAGCCGGTCCGTCAGCAGCTTCTACGTCTGTGGCACCTGACTTAGGTGCTCTGATGGTGATGCTGCAGCAGCTGCGGGGCGGACAGGAGAAACAGGCCCGCTGGCAGGAGGAACAGGCCCGTCGTTTAGAAGAGCAACTCCAACGCGATAAGGAAGAGCAGATGCTCCTCATGAAGGACCTTCACGCTATCTTCGGAAAAGAGATACGGGAGGTGAAGGATAAGGTTGCTCAACATGACAACCACCTGTCGGAGGCCGAAACCCGAATCGACCAAGTGATATAGGACTTGGCGGTGTGTTGTCTCAACGTAATGGTGACCAAGAGGTCGTGATAGCGTACTTCAGCAAGTCGTTGTCAAAACCGGAAAGGAACTACTGTGTCACAAGACGCGAATTGCTAGCTGTGGTAAAGTCGTTGCAACATTTTAGCAAATATCTTCTGGGACGAAAATTTCACTTACGAACTGACCATGCTGCACTAAAATGGCTATTGCAGTTTAAAAACCCAGAAGGACAAGTTGCGAGGTGGATTGAACTACTGCAGGAATACGACTTTGAGATCGAACATCGCAGCGGGAAATCTCATGGCAACGCAGATGCATTGTCAAGAAGACCTTGTCCTGAAGATTGCAAACATTGTACTAGGCAAGAGAGTAAGGAAGTGGTATCCGTGAGGATGCTCAGGGCAGACCACCTCAGCAACGAGTGGAAGGACAGCTTACTACATGCACAGCAGGAAGATCCGGACATCAAGCCGATTCTGGAATGGATAAAGGCCAGTGCTCCCAAGCCCAAGTGGAGTGACGTCTCAGCGATGAGTTCGACCACTAAAAGCTATTGGGCCCAGTGGGACAGCTTGCTGCTTCAGGATGGAGTTCTGTGTCGTAAATGGGAAAACGTTCGGGGAGACAGCTGTCATTTGCAAATGGTTGTCCCTAAAGTTAAAGTACCGGATGTTCTACAGCTGTACCATAATGATTGTTCAGGAGGCCATCTGGGAGTTAAACGAACTCTACTGAAGATCCGAGAACGGTTTTACTGGGTCCACTGTCGAAACGATGTCGAGGACTGGTGTCGCAAATGTACAAGATGTGCGGCTGTAAAGGGACCTCAGACTCGTAGTAGAGGTGCATTGAAGTTGTACAATGTTGGTGCACCATGGGAGAGAATAGCCATTGACGTGGCGGGGCCGTTTCCGGAGAGTGAAAGCGGTAACAAGTATTTCATGGTTGTGATGGATTACTTCAGGTGTGTCCGCAGCAAAGGGAAATCTCCTAAGCTTCAAGCTAAATGGGACGGCCCGTACCGGATTGTAACCAGGATCAACGATGTGACCTACCGGATACAGAAAGGCGCAAGAGGGACTCCTAAGATCGTCCATGTGGATCGCTTGGCGCGTTATTATGGGACCGATAATGCTCGGGACGAGCATGTCTTAGGAGGGGGCAGTGTTGCATGAATAAGTCAATCATGTTAGTTTTACTTAGAATCTCCAATTTAGCTTGCAGTAATTCTGACTGATCATAAGTCTCTTTAGCTGCTAAGAATTCTAATAGTGGAAATACAAGATGTCGATCTAAGTATTGACCAATTTTGAAAGTAAGATCAAATTTCGAATAACTCATTTTTAACAATATTTAGCACTTTTGTTATAACCAATACACTCGTGTCCTGCTCGCGTCACTTCCTCACCGAGAGCTTCCAGAACTGTTAAGGCCTGGTCGCGCAGGCCTAGTGTGAGAGCAGTCATGGCCTGACTTTTATTCCAGCCGTTCGCCTTCATAACAGCCTCGAACTGGATTTTGTAGGCTGACCAGGAAGAGGTCCCGTCGAACGGCGGCACTTTGAATCCACGTAGCGAAGGTGTTGTAGCTACTACGGGAGCTGTTGTTCCATCCCCAAGTTTGAGGTCGTCCAGCGTTTTCTTCACGTCAGCCATTACGTTGTCAACCCGATTGTTTACTTGATCGAGGTAGTATTGAATTGGCGATACGAGCGAAGCTTCGGAGCGAAATTAAGTGAATTAGTGTGTTTAATTATTAGTGTTTTAAGATTTAATTTGTTTAAAGTAAATTAAAGTGTTAATTTAGGTAATTTTATCGGCAATTTTTATTGTCACGAACCTCAAGCTCGTAACAATACATACATGATGAAGCAATGTGAACAATTTACCTGAAAAACTTTTATCAAAATAAGGTTACTAGTGACGTATGTATGTATTCTTAAAACGTTTCATAACATTTATAGGTTATTGCTTAATAACAAATAATTAGACGAACGCAGTGCTAGACGTCACTTTCCTTTGATGCTGCTGCTCATTACTTCGCACTTGCAAGTGGTAGCGATGACTGATGTGCCACAGGAAGTGCCAGAAGTCTGTCTTATGAATCTGCGGTGAATTGAGATAAAGACAAATTGGACGGGCTTTCAGGAGCTGAAAGCCCGAGACTTTCAGGAGCCTTTCGAGACTGCAAAAGGTAATTCTTAGGAATGAATGGTGGGGGTTCTTTAAGATAATGACAAAGGCTTGAAATTGTAATCGGGTGGTCACTAGTTTGGCCGTGGAAGGAAAAGGGGAGATCTCCCGCCGTGTAAGGTATTCTACCCAAAGAGCTTCAAGTGGTAGTTCGGAGTTATTCTATGTCTGTTTTACTTTGGAACTTTGATAGCGCGATTTAGGCCCTGTCTCTCACCGACCTGCAGTTGGATAAATTTTGTATTCTGGTTTTTTACTTGGATAGCCAACGTAGACATACTGCACAAATATTACAGCACCTACAATGAATCTGGCAAAAGAAAACAAAACATTATTTACATTATTATTTAGTTTCTTTTTTATTATTATGGAAGAAATAGAGAAGGGATTCTGCATGTCGCATGGAAAAGATATTAATATTATAATTGTAGCTGAAAAACTAGAACGTTAATTTTGTTTCCGCAGACGTTTTTCTAGCACATGAAATTTAATTTATTAATTGCTACGGTTAATTGAAAAGAGGCAAATAAAAACAAAAATTCAGATTTTTTTAGTTTATGAATATAAACGTTTTTCATTGAAAAGCACATACATATGCCAATTTTCACTGTGATCGATCAAATAGATTTTAAGTTAAATGATTTCATATATACACACACATCCTCTTTCATATATGTATATAGATAATACATTAATTGTTTCTAAAATAATCATTAATGCCATTACTTGACCACCTGGCATGATCGTTGGTTAAATTATCTTGAGTCTACAATTTCATAACTTTTCCGCAGTATATTTGCTATCTAATATCATTCTATTAAAATAAAGTATATGCAAATTTAACTTCAGTATTCGCCTCATCTAAAAGATAAACGAGCATGATCGAATATCAAATATCAGTAAATATTTCATTTTGAATATTCCGAGCAGAACTCGGAAATTATTGTAATGGATCCAATTTTCGAAAGTCCAAATTTGAATATATTTCTTAATTTTAGTTTTAAAATTATATTCTACGCATTTGTATAGGAAGTTTGTGTGAAAAAGTGTTTTTCACTAACAGGTAAAATAATTATAATCTACTAGATTAAGCCGTGGTCTCTTGTAAATCTTACTTAATCATGTTCGATTGAATTAAGGTCACAGTGTGTTTGCGAGTAAGAGGGGACTTACGAAAATCAAACATAAGACAGGCAGCAGCATTTTCCTGAAAACAACTCAAAATAAAATATACGGTTAACCCTTCCCGCTAATTTTAATTGCAAAGCGCTCCACGTCATAAAATTTTCAAGATAAATTCAGGAGAAATTAATTTCTTTTGAACGAATGAACCGGTTTTGATAAGGTTTGCGGCAATTGATATTTTTTTTTTTTTAGATTAAGAGCTAATTAGATTTTGAAATCGATCGATATATTAGTTTAAAAGTTATCTCAAAAAACTTTTTTTGGAAAATTTTATTTTTGAGATTTCTCAAAATCTAACAACCGTTTGTTCGATTCAAATTCGCACGAAATCTAAAAAAAAACTCTTAATACGCAATCTTCTTTTTTACTTCGCGCTATGAAAATTAATGAATATCAAAAAAATCGGTCACGTGTGTGTGTGTGTGTGTGTGTGTGTGTGTGTGTGTGTGTGTGTTCGTGCGTGCGTGCGTGCGTGCGTGCGTGCGTACGTGATTGCGTGCGTGCGTGCGTGCGTGTGTGCGTGCGTGTAATTATAACCGCGAAACTGGGACCTTATTGCAGTCGTATTTGCAACTACTAGACCAACCAGGCATGAAACATAACCGAACTACACAACACATTCTATTCTTCGTTAAATATTTTAAAATACTCCTAGACGTTTTGAGCAAAGTTTATGTTTGTCGGGTACCGTCCTACGAATGACATCTATGTTGTTGTAATCAAGTTGTTTGACAATTAATGTTTTGGTGTAAAAAGTGGACTTTAACATTTTGATAAGTTATCAATGTGTAAAATAAACATCGAGTGAACTAAATCTGCAATATACTAATCTGTAAACATTAATTGTGGCTCAAAAATCAAGTTATAAAGTGCAGCGTTATATGAATTTACCCATATTACGTTAATTTTTACAAAGTGCAATCATCCGATCCGAACGCGTAAGCGTGTTCTAAACACGCATCACTTAAGACCTCGCGAAATTCTCGCGAACTCAACTAAACGCGCAAAACAAAGCAGCGTTCGGGGATTTTATTGCTGTGCGAATTAAATTGTGAATATTAACTATAACTCATTCCTTGTGGCGGTTACGGGTCATTTGTTGCCGTGCACTTTTCAAGTTATATTTTTGAGCATTAAAATAAAATAAAATGACTTCGTTGAACCTGGAATGGAGGTGTTTTTCTACAGGCAATGAGGATGACAATTATGTAAAATGCTCAAAATGCAAAGCAGCTTATCACTATCTATGTCTCTCTGCGGGACAGAAAAAGCTTACGCCCACTAACGTCCCTAAGGATCGGTTGTGCCCTAAATGCAGAGAATCAACACCCAAGGGGTCCAAAAATGACAATACACCAATTCGTCAGCTGCAGAATGTCACCGTGCGCCCTTCAAAAAGGCCAGCTATGTCGTCTCCACCGTGTAAACAAGACTCCCTTGTTACGCGTGAAGGAATCCGCGAAATTATGGAAGAAGTTCTATTAAAGCATATGGAGGATTTTAAGATGCATTTTTGTTCTGTATTATCTAGAGTGAAAGAAGAAGTATCTAGCATAAGTAAAGCTATGAATTACATGAGCGACCAAGTAGAGGATATTTTGTTAAAATATAATGAGAGTAATGGTCTGATCAAAACGCTGTAAAAACGCGAAGATGAAATGCAATCGAGTATTAATAATCTCACTGCTCGCATAAACCAACTAGAACAAAATACTCGTAGCAAGAATATCGAAATACAATGCGTTCCGGAGAAAAAATCAGAGAATTTAATAGGCATCGTAAAGCAACTTAGCAACGTAGTGGGGCTTGACCTTCAAGACGAAAACTTTATTCATGTTACAAGTACAGCCAAAGTCAATCCTGAGAGTAAACGGCCACGTTCCATAATAGTAGAACTATGCAATACAAGGGTCTGGGATTCTTTTCTGGCTGCGGTCATAAAATTCAACAGGCTGAAGAGTAACAACAGGGACAAACTGAACAGTACTCACCTTGGCTATTCGGGCCCCACTTCAGCAATTTTCGTCATGGAACACTTATCTCCTGCTAATAAATCACTACATGATGCAGCCAGGCAGATTGCCAAAGAAAAGGATTATAAATACGTGTGGGTGCGAGGCGAACTGTTAGGAGGCCGATCCCGTTTGATTTTTTAAAAAAGAAACACCAAATAAACCTAAAGGTTTATTGCAAAAAAAAAAGTTCACACCAAATTAATATAGTCCTTGACTTCCGAACTCTAATAAGTCTCGGAATCTATGTCCGATCTACCCGGGGCTCTGAGTCTAACTGAACATTAAAAATGGAAAGAAACAATATATAACAATATAATTGCTGACTATAGCTATATTAAGGAAAAGTACCGTGTGATTCAATGAATGCTTACTAATATTTTATTGCTTTGTAAAAAGGGATATAACAAAAGAACAATACAACAAAAGAACAATATAACAATATAATTGCTGACTATAGCTATATTAAGGAGAAGTACCGTGTGATTAAATTAATGCTTACTAATATTTTGTTGTCTTGTAAAAAGGGATATAACAGCTCCCCCCTTTTGACTGAGCTTTTTCTAAATTAAGATAAAGCGAAGATTCGAAATAGAAAAGCGATTAGAGGTCGGAAGACATTACAAATTATGAAAATAGGAAATTAAAATTTGTGGTAAAATATTGCAAATCAATCTCATAACAATGTAAAAACTTTCGAACTAAATTTTATATAAAGATACAATAGTATTATTCGTTAACTAAGTTATACAAAAGAGACAGAGTAGAATTCAAAAATAATCAATTTAAAATTAAGGAATAAAATTATACAAAAATGAATTATTTAAATCTAAAATTAAAAGTATTTTGAATGAAATAGTAAAATTAGAATTTACTTGTATTAAACAAGGTAGTAATTTCAATTACAATTACATAGATTGCATTTAAAATAGCAATTACAAAATATAAAGTGACAGAGTAGAAATTAAGATTATATGATAATAAAATCGATTATTTGTATTAATACAAAAATTTTAAAACTAAAATTGAATAAAATTAGAAATTAAGATTTCTTCGAGAGGAAGAATGAACTTTGTCTACAGTTTTATAAGGCTTATAATTAGTACAATTTGGTAAAGATTTAAGCGAGATATTATCTTCTTCAGATGTCGATTTATCGGTCATCTCAATTGAATTTGAAATTTTGGAGTTATGTTTCGATGACTTTTTATTATTACATTGATTAAATATTTGTATACAATATCCACTGCTATCGTGACGATTTCTGCAGCATTTAAATAATTTATAGGCAAGGTATAAAAATAGTAGTACAATTAAAACATAAGTAAATGTTGAATAGTATGAGCCATATTTAATAAAATGTGATTCTTTTTGAAGATTATTTAATTCAAACTCTAAACTATCCAGTTGATGATTTGCATATTTTAAAGAATCCAAGTTAACTTTGCTTAAAGAGATTGGCGTTAAATATGGTAAACTTTTATTAAATACGTCCTTTTTGCAACAATCATCTTTCGTTATATCAAAGCTTATATCTATCGTTGATTTGATCGAAAATTGGTAAGTACTGGTTGGCAATAATTGAATAGTTTTGGAATAACCAATAAAATTTTCGGTTAATTTGACAATACCTGTGCCAATAATAGAATGATCAGTAATGTCGTCATCACATTTGATAGTTAATTTGTTTACATTAGATTGTACATAGATCCATCTATTATTTTTTTAATTTATGCCAAATATTGATTTGGCCAAATAATAACTTGGCGTTACACTCAGAAGGTAGGGAAAGAATTACTTCTGTTAGTAATTTCGATTCACAATTAGGATTATTTACACTAGACGTTATAGTTAATAGTTCACAAATAGAGTAGTTATTATTAATGAAATTACAATCATCTAAGTTATTAAACATAGTATAATGTATTCTATCGTCACTTAAAGCAATATAAGAATTAGAAGGTTGAATAAGTGCAAAAGTTTGCATATTATGTGACTCGTCGTGAGGAGTCGGTAATGGGATATTTTTATAAACAGTGAATTTATCAGGTGTTATCAGTGGAATTTGCAAACTGAAAACAATCTTATTGTTATAGTAATATGAACTAAGTTTCGAGATGTCAATCAAAGAATGAATATTATGTATGTTCAATTGCATTGGAAAATCTAAACGTTTGTTTAATTGATTAATATGCTTAGTTAATTCATTATAAAGACTTAAAGGGCTAATCACGCTAGGATGCAAAACATTTACCTTGGAAAATAAAATAGCATTTATAGTTATGTCTAGTAAGTTAGAAATAGCAAGTAAGGAGCCTTCAATTACGTTTAGTAAATTATTTATCCTAGAAATGTGAAGTAGTAAGTTATCGGTTTTTGTAATTTGTGACAAAATTTCATTCATTTTATTAATTTGGGAATTCAATTTTAATTCGTTTTGATTTAATTTATAAATAGTGGCATTAAAATTATTTATAGTGGATTTAATTATATGAATATTATCTCTGAATAGATTAAATAGTTCCGTTTCACTTTTCCGACAGGATTCTATCGCGGCATCATATTTTCGCGCATCATCTGCGTCTAGAGTACCAAAGAAAAATTTAAGAATTTCGCCTCCAAATTCCAAAGATCTTTTGACTTTGTTTGGCGATGGGTTATTATTGATTAAATGTGCTAGAGATTGCAATTTGACGTAATTATATTTTATTAAAGTCTCTATAGGAGTAGAGAAATCTTTACACGGGGAAAATTCGTCAGTATTTATTTTGGAACAAAGGTTTAAAGTATCATATAATAAATTTTCTATTTTATTGAGATAAGGATCTAAGGATATAAGGTCTATATATGTTATGACTTTCCAATAATCGTTATAAAAATTAATATGCGTAATAGGTTCAAAATAAATTCCAGGACTATGTGATATAGGTATGATCCTCGATTCAGCGTGGCTTTGGTTTTCATAGCATAAAGCTCTGAAAAAATATACAAAGTTAATTAAATTTAGGGAGTTTGAATAGCAGGCTTAATTTCGTTTGTATGGTACTTAACATGTTTACGACCTATTTGTAACGTTACGTTATGCTTATTATTTATTTTTATAATTTTATATGGGCCCTTCCATATAGGTGATAGAGCCTTACGGAGCCGGTGATGATGTTTTATATACACTAAGTCGCCAATTTTATAAGAAGTTTCACGTGAACTAGCGTCATAATATTGTTTCGATTTTTCTTTGCTATTAACTATATTTTGAATGGCCTTTTCTCTACTAAAACGCATTCGATATTGTAAAGCCCGAATATATTCATTATAGGTTGTATTATTATTTGTTTCATATAGGGAATTTGGAATGTTAGGTTTATAACCATATAATAATTCATGAGGGGTGAAATTAGTGGTGCAATGTGGAGTGGTATTATAAGCTAATATTGCGGTAAATAGATAACAATGCCAATCATTCTGGTTTTCGTTTACGAAAGATTTTAGGTATTCTTTTAAAGTAGCATGTGAGCGTTCTAGGGCTCCATTTGTTTGTGGGTGATAAGGAGTGGTAAATAAGGTTTTAACTTTTAGAATTTGAGTCAGTTGTTTAAATAAATCGGACGTGAAACATGTACCCAAATCTGTTAAGATCGTTTTAGGAAAACCGAAAAGAGACATAAAATGTACGAGATTTCTGGCTATTTCTTCACTGGTAGCTGTGACCAGGGGATAAGCGCTTGAAAATTTAGTTAAATCGTCTTGCAATGTAAGGATAAATTTGAATTTTTGGAAACCTGCGTCGGGCAAAGGACCAACGATGTCGAGAGCTAATCGTTCAAAAGGTCTAGTAGAAGTGGAAGTTATCTCCATTGGAGCCTTATTGGACATTCTCAGCGGCTTATTAATTTGGCATAATTGGCATTTCTTAACGTAATCTACAATATCAGAGCGCATACCCTTCCAGTAGTAGGCGGCTTTAATTCTTTTATACATACGATTTGATCCTGGGTGACCCGCAATAGGTGAATCGTGATTCTCTTTTAAAATTTTAGGGATTTCGATGGGAGTAGGGTAAATTAACCGATTTTTATAAATATGAATTTTAATATTTGTGCTATGGAAAATATAGGCAATCATATTATATACCTTAATATAACCTAACTTAGAAAATGGGTCTGAAAAGTCTGACAAGGCGAGATCTGTGATATCGGGATTTTCGACTAAAATTTTATCTCTAAGTTTTATCATTAAATTGTAGATGTCTTTAAATTTGGTTTCTTCATAATGGTGAACTTTGGTATATAAAAAATAGAAGTATTTATTCTTATCTTTAACACATTGAATTGTAAAAGGTTCGCGTTCGGAATTCAGCAATTCCTCCGGCTTATCTAACTGCGATAATATTTCTTCACAGTGAGGTATAGATGAATCGAAATCTAAAGAGACCGGACACGCGATATGTTTTAACTTAGACAAATGTAATCCTTCAGTGCATTCTATAATTACTGTATTTGAAATAGGAGTTTTATTGGAGAATTGATCCTTAAAATATTTTTCATAACTAGAGTTATTTAAGGTGTTAATGTCTATAACATTAACGGGACAGCGAGATAACGCATCAGCATTGGAGTTTAAACGGCCTTGTT